AACCTGTTCTTCCTCCCACGTATCCCCTCCTCCCACCTCAAGCCGCACCCCCATTTCCTACCTACTAACCTCATCCCGCCCCCTTGACCTGTCCGTCCTCCCTGGACTGACCTATCTCCTCCCTACCTCCCCACCTACACTCACCTTTACTGGCTCCATCCCTGCCTCTTTGACCTGTCTGTTTCCTCTCCACCTATCTTCTCCTCTATCCATCTTCTTTCCGCCTCCCCCTCTCTCCTTATTTATTTCAGAACCCCCTTCCCCTCCCCCATTTGTGATGAAGGGTCTAGGCCCGAAATGTCAGCCTTCCTGCTCCTATGATGCTACTTGGCCTGCTGTGTTCATCCAGCTCTGCACCTTGTTGTCTCAGTCAGAGATAGGCAGCTTTTTAATTTTGATATTCACTTTCCTGTTTTCTGTAAATATATTAAATTTTGCTTGGTTGTTCAATAAAATCAGAGTTTTCTTTGCCTCTGAAGCATCTGCATCGCGTGTTTTCCACCACTCCATGTTCCACACATAAGCCCAGTGTCAGAACAGAAAGCTGGTGAACAGTAAACCAGAGAGCACTCCCTACATCGTGCCATATTCATACAGCACGGAAACAGACTCTTCGATCCAACTTCACCAATTGAGATTAGACGGGAAACAGATGATGGCAGTTAACTGATTAATTGAGGTCTGAAGGGCGAATAGTAACTCAGGGGACTTGGTGGTGGAAAAAAAATCCAAAGATGTGCAATAGCATCATTGGATAGAAAAAGAAAGGAAAAAGTATAAATGTAAAGGTTGAGCAGGGGTTCTTGTGGTGGTCTTGAAATAGTATTGTCCTTGTCTTTTGGCTATGACACCTCGATTCAAGTCCCACCTGCTCCAGATGTGTGTCATAACATCTCTGATAGGGTTCAATCAAAAATATCTATAAAGAGAGAGCAATTGGGACAGAACTGGAACCAATGTGTTTCAGTTTTATTTTTGTTAGAATCTTTTAACCATTACTTTTTTCATTACCATCAATTTAAAAGTTGAGTGTTACTGGATTTTCAGTTTGGAATATTTTTTAGACAAAGACAGCGGTTTTCATCTTTTTAGGGTGAACTGAATGCAAGAAAGACTGTGAGTTGCTGGCCGTTAACATTTAAGTATCCTCCATGCGCTTAAAATTTCTGCTTCTGTGACCCCATTTCGAGTCTTAAAAATTATTGCCGTCCATCAGTTGGTAGGAGCATAGGGACCTATGAGAGCAAGGGAGGGGTCTCACTAGTGCTGACTTGGAACTTGTAACCCCAAAATACCAGCTTGCCACCCCACCTGTGGTTCCAACAACCACTTTGGGAAGCCCTGGCTCAAACCTGACTAATTGTTGTGGACCTACAGCTTGTAAATTGACTTTACAGAACACTGAAGGGATATTCTTGTTTACTCAAATGCTTTTACCCCTTTGTACCATCTGTTATATGCGGTGAGCTGATTTCGTTCTCGTGAATATACCTGTTACAAGCAATGGGATTGATATGAGTATGTTTATCAGTAAAGATTATAAAGACCTACACAGATGCAGTGTCATTCACAGAATAGCAGCTGTCTGCAATGAAGTTCAAGTTACCTATTTTTAGGTATAAGCTGTCCCTAACTGCTTGCAAGTTCTTGTATCCACTCTGCCTACAATTTGTTGGCTGTTTCCTCTGTAAAGCATACTTCTGATGATTCAATGAATGATACAGATATATAATCAGCAAAATCAGTGGGAATTGTGAATCTCATTTAAAGTGCTCAAAACATGGAGAATTATGAAGAATAATGTTTATTTTAAGAACCCTTAAGAAAGAAAGTATTAAAAATTAAATAATTTACTTAAATTACTTTTATATTAGGGAAACAGTTCATCACCTAATTTGGGGTTCTAAACCATGACTCTGAGATTATGTCCTATTAACTACTGATTAATCTAGCTAGGTCATGTAGGAACTCCCGGCACAATGTCTTTCTAACTTTTCCATAATTCAATTCACAATTTTATATCAAAATAAAGCTGTTTAATGGTTAAAGTTGCAATATTAAACTGGTCTAGGAACAAATTGGCAAATATCCATCATCTTGGTAGGAGAATCCACACAAGGCAATGGTTGCAGTGCAGACTGAGAGTGTATGCATACAGAGGGGTGAGGACCACTATGGCCACTCTGTAGACCATGAGGTTGTGCTGGGTTTGAAGTCTCAGAGCTTGAACACTCTGTTCCTCAAGCATCTAAAAGCTGCACTGGTGCATTGGAGTCAATGTTAGACCATAAGACATAGGTGCATAAATTAGGCCATTCAGCACATTGAGTCTGCTCCACCATTCAATCATGGCTGATAAGTTTCTCAAGCCCATTCTCCCGCTTTCTTCCCATAACCCTTGATCCCCTTGACCATCAAGAACCTATCTATCTCCGTCTTAAATATATTCAATGACCTGGCCTCCACAGCCTTCTGTGGCAATGAATTCCATAGATTCGCCATTCTTGTGAACCTCCTCTGAACCCGCTGTAGAGCCAGTACATCTTTCCTGAGATATGGGGCCCAAAAGTGCACACAATAATCCAAATGTGGCCTGACCAGAGCCTCATAGAGCATCGGAAGTATATCCCTGCTTTTATATTCAAGTTCTCTCAAGATAAATGCCAAAGTTGCATTTGCCTTCCTAATTACTGATCCAACCTGCAAGTTTACCTTGAGGGAATCCTGGACTAGAACTCCCAAATCTCTTTGCACT